CACTATGAGTAATCAACTTTGGGAAGTTTTGACTATCATTTTTCCTCTCGTTCTGGTGGCCCGTTTTAGTTCTATGACTGGATGAGAGAAGCTGAAACTCCTGTGATTGTTGTTTCCTTTATAATAATGAAAAAACATTTAATTCTATTTTCCTCAATTTAAAATCTGATTACTTGAGGGAGGCAATTAATTGAGGGACGGCTAAATATGCCCCTGGCCCCAGTTGTTCAAAAGGTGGATACCGTAAATCCTCCATTAAGCTTCCCAGGGGGCTTAATTATTTCAAGCCCATTTGAGGGGGGGCTTAATAGAGACGGGGGGCTTATTTCATTTAAAAACGACAATGGTATCAGTTCTCCATAAAGAACTAGATTGCAAAGTGGAAAAGCTCAAGTACAAGAAGTTTTAGGTCATGCAGCTGAGGATCAGAATCAAATCCGATCTTCCAGTTGGTAAATAAACCATCCTGGATCAGTCCACACGAAGTTTTACAGTCGTGGTTGATAGATACAGACTATCATTTATTAGTGAAGAATAAATAGGGGAGGAGAGGGGGCCTTAATAGAGAGGGAGGGGGGGGGGGGCTTATTAACTTTATTAACTTTCTTCCCCTGAAAAGGGGGGGGGGGCTTATTAGAGGGAGGGGGCTTATTTGAGAGGGAGGGCTTAATAGAGGATTTACGGTAGTACTATCCAATGGATAAATCTCTATCCAGTGGATAGTGCAATTGGTAAATTCCTAATACTTATCCACTGGATAGTGATTTATCTGGTGGATAGCACTATCCAGCTTTTGAACAACTGGGGCCTGATGAATAAAGTGATGTCCTTTACTTACTTGAGGTTGTAAGGGTTGTACAAGATGGACGACCTGTCAACAGCTGGAGTCATATAAAGAAACCCAAGCTTTGAATTCTCTTTAATCAAGCTGATAATCTGAAGTGGGTCTCGTAACCCCTCAGGAATAACATCAGTTTTGTGTGCAGCCAAACCTCCATTCACAATGGGCTCCTGGAACTGAGTGACCTTCTGCTTCGGCGACATCTGCCGCTGAGGACTCACTGCTTTCACTTGAGCTACAGAATCGATTTTTTCTTGCTTGCTTCTCAAGTCATCAGGCAAGTTTGGTAACGGAGATGTTGTACGTTCAAGGGGTTCCACAACATCTCTTCGGCGTGTCTTTTTCTTCTCCGGCTCAGATGATGATGGAGGTGTTGGAGATTTTGTCTTTCCTGCAGGAGATGTGTATGGCAGGCTTCTTTGCTTCTCTTGATATCTCGCAAGGTTTGGCTACAAAGAAAATTTTTTACAATGTATTCCATCATTTCTAAAGAGCCACTGTCTTATAAGGGCCTCTGCGGCAGACACAATCTAACTCTGGTTAGTTGTCTGGGCCCCTGACAGACTCAACAAATTACCAGAAACGTGTTTCCAATTTCTTTTCAAACTGATAGGCCAATCGACAATGGCATTTGACTGAGGCCAATAATGGCACATAAGAAGTACAAATGTACTTATGCAAGTATTCAACTTTAAATTGACGGTCTTTGGTATTTTACCTCTGGCCCATTGTGTAGCCTCTGCCACAGACGGAACTAAATTTATGGTTAAGTCTGTCTGTGAAACATCGCTGAAATCCTTGTTCAAGGCCCCTACCTGTGTATCAAGATTTGAGAACGTGCCATGATTGGCCTGTTTAAAATGTCACTGACCATTTGCCAAATGAAACAAGATTAAGGAAAATTAGAAACGCTCTTCTGGTAATTTGTTGAGTCTGTTGAGGGCCCAGAGCAATGACATTGGTGCTGCTTTACAGAGAAATTTGATGCTGATCACTCTTCTATAGGGCTTAAAGGGTTAATGCACCTGGTAATTATTGATAGTATACATGGGTGACTGTACTTGCCACATAACACCCCCCCCCCCCCCCC